GCGCTCTCACCACCATGACTCAAGTTCATTTCCCGGTCAGGGAACCACATCACCCATCTGTTGGTTGTCATACTGTGGCGGCTGTGTGTTGCTGTGAAGCTGAAAGTTATGCCACTGGTATTTCAAATACCAGCAGGGTCACCCATGGTGGACAGGTTTCAGTGGAGCTTCCAAACTGGGAAGAAGGACCTGGCCACCCACTTCTGAAAAACTTGGCCGTGAAAACCCTGTAAACGGCAGCGGAGCATTGTCTGACCTAACACCGGAAAGTGAGAGGACGGTGCAAAAACAGTGGGCAGGTGACAGATTTTAGAGAAAACTTCATCTAAACTGTCTTTAGAGGCAATAGGCACTGGAGCCATATGGACCTTGAGTAAGTTAATTCACTTCCCTAAATCTCCACTTTTAAAAAAAATTTATTGAATGGTGATAATAGTATATATTCATACAGCTTAGTGGTTCTCAAAATTTAACTTGAGACTAGCCTGAGATGCTAAGGATTTCAGTTCAGTAGCCCTGGGTGGAAGAGCGGTTGGGGGAGGGGGGTGGGGGGCAGGAAACACTGTCACGGGGATTGTTAGGATTAAATGGGACATGTGCAAAATGTTTAGCACATGCCTGGCCCATGTTAGCTACTAAAATCCATAAATAATATTGCTATTTGGGTGGATGTAGCATCAAGGAGCAACTTTCTTTGGGAAACTTAACTTCCTTTGGCATCACTGAAAATCAAACAGAAGTGAAAACGCCAGGGCTCATTATAGTTACAAGGTACAAGCTTTGCCCCCATTTCGAAATACAAAAAGGAATTCTTATACTTCCTAGTTACTCTTACTACCAAGTTACAACGTGCAGATTATAAAGTGGTGTCAACACACAAGTCTGAAAAAGTTGTTGATGAAAAACCTGTGAAGGAGAAGGTGTGAGGTTGCTTAATGCAACTTACGGCACATCATATAATCAGTTATTCTAGGCAATGAAGTACGTAACCGAAATGGAGGCATGGGGAAATTAATTTCCAACAGGATTAGCAGGGAAAGGTCTTTCATTGGCAAACTGATGCTTTCAACCCCACTACACAAGTGTTTAGTGTTTGTGAAATAGCAAATGGTAAAAACTCTTCTGAAATCGTGTTTTTAATGGACAATCTGAGTGTTCACAAACACTCTTCGATTAAATTCATGAATGTCACTATTTTAATGCCATGTAGTATTTAATACACAAAGTTCCACAACTAAAGAAAGTGGCCAATTTCTTGGATTTTGTTTTGATTGAATTCCTCTGTAGTTAGATGCAAAATCAACCCTGGTTTTATTTTCAGCTAAAGGTCTCCTTCACAGACGGAGGAGTGTCCAGTCAGCACGAAACAAGACATGACCAGACCCCTGCTCGTACAGCCCAGCCCCTGGTACAGAACAGGTCCTCACTGTTTTGAATGAACGTGGAAGGTCTAACACCCAGAATGCTTAGAGGAGGCAAAGCGAGTCCTTGAAAACTTGGCACACTCCCAGATAACATATCTGAGACTTTCTTCAGACAAGCAATTCAAACGGTATATTGATTTTTAATAGTTCTGTAAAATTGAAGTGCACACGATCAGCACTGATGAAATCCTGGAACCTCTTGGTAACCAGCCCGGAGTGAACATACCGCCGCCTGCAGAGGGCTGAGGTGCGGGTAACTCTGACCTTCATTACAGCAAGAGACTGTCCCCTGGTGGCGGTGAGGCGACAGACTCCCCATTCTGAGATGGAACCAGATACACTGCTGTCTCCCTCCATTTCCATAGTTTTCAGACCTCACTACTTGCGGGAGAATGTTAATTTTTATTTTAATCATAGGATCTATCCTCTAACTAAAGGGATAACAATACACACTGGCTTTTTTTAAATTTAAGCCAACTTTTCTGGAATGAATTTATTTTGTATATCAAAAAAATTCCCTACGATAAAAATTTCTAAATCCTGCAGAATCAGCCTAGCACTAGACACATTGTAAAGCCTCCAATAAATACACGAATTAAAATTTTAAACTTAAAGAAAGAATAATTCAGCAAAATATCATCTTTGGCACACTGATTCAGATTTCCTTATTAAAATATTGTTTCAAACTGGGTAAACGAGTCAAACTGTTCACAAATGCACATCCTTTTATGGTCCTTAAATTTAAAAATCTGACTTTTAAATAAAAACCTAGAGTCCCTAGGAAGAATTTTACTTAGAGAATCTTCTGTAAAAGGCCATAAAATGTGAGTTAGAATTAGGTTCCTGTACTTAACTACCTTTATGAAATTTTATTCCTAAATATATTATGAATAATGTAAAAAGTCACCAAGTATAGCCATTCACACTGCAGACAGTTTATACCATGTAAGTTTTAAGTCCAGTTCCATGGTTCCAGAAATCCAGCATTTCCTTTTTTTTTTTTTTAATTTTACCTTATTTTTTTCCTTTTTCTCCCCAAAGCCCCCCAGTACATAGTTGTATATTCTTCGTTGTGGGTCCTTCTAGTTGTGGCATGTGGGACGCTGCCTCAGCGTGGTTTGATGAGCAGTGCCATGTCCGCGCCCAGGATTCAAACCAACGAAACACTGGGCTGCCTGCAGCGGAGCGCGCGAACCTAACCACTCAACCACGGGGCCGGCTCCCCAGCATTTCCTTTTAATGGAAAAAACAAAGCATCTGATCTTTCAAGGATTTTGCTAGAGCCTTTCAAAGGGCTCTTTTTTACACAATTAGAATTTCCTTCTGACCAGCTATACTGTTGATGAAAACTTGAGCTAAAGCTCTATGAAGTCAGGTAAATCCATCTGACATGGGTTTTAACTTTCAGATATCCTAGAAAAGGTCACACTGAACAGCCACTTAATTCTTAGATACTAGTAATTTCATTTTCTTCAATGAAAACATTGAAATAGTAATAGGAGTAAAAATACCGTGTTAATGCTACTAAGCCACAAACTGCTGCTACACGAAGGTGAATTGCACCGCCACACTTCACATCCAAAAGTCACTCTCAAATTCTGAGCTGGATTAATTTTAATTATGAATTTCAGACATGGAGTGTACAAAATCTAAGCAGAAGCATCTGAAAATTTTCTCTCCCATTTCCATGTAAAATTCAATTGATATTTCTGAGCGCAAAAGCCAAAAATAATCTTATTATATGCATAGTATTATGTGTATATATACTATACACTATGTGCATGTTTATACTATGGGTGTATATTGGCACCTAAGATTTTATTCTTATTGTTTCTATGAATTCTTATTGTGTATATATGAATTCCAAAAGCTTTGTGGAATCTACCATAAATCTGAAAAATGTCTAGCATGGATCAACTACATATGAATGTCAAGTAAAACTCATACACTTTCCATTGGTAAAGGGGATAAATTGTCATGACCACATAGTGTACACTTTACTACATTTATTTGTCTTTTTTCTCTGGACTATTTGTTGTGGAAACAAATATCTTTCTCAGTAACTCTGTTTCCCATCTCAAATGTCAAGGACAGAAGTTGGGTTTTTTTTCTTTTGTGAGGAAGATTGGCCCTGAGCTAACATCTCTCACCAATCTTTCCCCCGCCCCACCACCAAAGCCCCAGTACATGGTTGTACATCCTAGCTGCAAATCATTCTAGTTCCTCCATGTGGGACACTGCCACAGCATGGCCTGATGAGCAGTGTGTAGGTCCACATCCAGGAACCGAACCTGTGAACCCTGGGCCGCAGAAGCAGAGTGCACAAACTTAACCACTCTGCCACAGGGGCAGCCCTGGTTTTGTCTTTTTATTAGCCCTATTTAGTACAATGCATAGTAAATTCCAGTATATTCAATAAATATATTGAATATACTATATTAAATATAAACAATAAACTACAGATACGAACTACTTAGACTATCCGGGTTTTAACTGACCCCTGAAGTCCTAGAGCAGGAGGGTAAATCTAGGAAGGGAGACCATCAAATACACCAAAAGACTCGCCGTGGGGTGTTTCCCAGACACCAGCCTGTTGGACTTTAAAGACTGGAGGCTGACTTCACCTTTCAGAGAGAAACTGGTTGCCCCAGTGACTACCCGCCTTAACGCAAAATTTCCCTAAAGCTTCCAACTCCTCTTTGGCCTCCCTTTTGGTATTTTACTAACTCAAAGAAAACAACCAAATTTGCGATTTGTTCTAGGGGATGGCCTGGACAGTACTTCATTAATACTGCCTTTAACCCCATTTTAAGCAAGAGTTGAACTTAAATAACAGACAAAGGAGATCAGTCTTTACTGTTTTAGTATACAGGCCCTAGTTCTCTGGGAAGTCAATTAAGAAAACAGTAAAGGCGTTTAAGATTTCATTCTCTCTATGAAGGGAAGGAAACAGGAAGTTACAGTACTTCGGGACTCCAGGATCACACTTGTTCATGTACAGAGACTAGCTACAACCAAGAAAGCAGGAATTTTAGATCACTGTGAACATAATTTGGGAGTAATTTATTCTGATTCTGTTTAAATTTGCCTCAGTTTTAAAACTAGTTAAAATGCTCTATGTTCAGCTGATTCTTTACTAATTTGTTTTCCAATCGAAGACATTCACAGAAGGGCAAGTTCAAAAATACACTGAACAGCATTTTATGAATGAATGTCTACAATACGACATCAGTACTAGCAGAATGCTGCTTTAAGTACAGCAAAACTCCAAACTCTAAAATTTTCATTTTTATTTATTTTTTTTAGTGAGGAAGATTGGCCCTGAGCTAACATCTGTGCCCGTCTTCCTCTATTTTGTATGTGGGATGCTGCCACAGCATTGCTTGATGAGTGGTGTGCAGGTCCACACCTAGGATCCAAACCTGCAAACCCCAGGCCACTGAAGCAGAGCGTGCGAACTCAACCACTACACCACCCAGCCAGCCCCTTCATTCTTAATTCTTCAACGAATTTTAATATACTTTGTTCTTACACAGATTTCTGATACACTACATATTAAAAATGTTCCAATCCTGGTGAGTATTAAACATTTTATTTAGAGATTTTAAAGTTAAAAAAAAGGTACACAAAGACAGATTACATTATGATGACCAAGGCAGTATTCTACATGACAAAAATCAAAATCAAATTTAAAAAGTAAATGTACAGACACTAAACAAGCTAAATACCTGATATCCAATTCAGGCTGCATACACATAAAATGATCTGACCACATGCTTATGCAAAATTTTTTTCTCAGAATACCAAAATTCCAGCCATTCTGTCAACTGTCTTCTTCCCCTGGCAAGTACTGTGAGCAAACTTCTATCTAATATAAAAGAACTGGCGTGGCACTTAAAAACTACAAAAGACAGAACATAATTAAAAACGTTTTTGTAATGTAATTCTGTATAAAATATATACAGTAAATCTTATTAGTTAAAAAAAAAAGATTTAAAAACAAAAGACCACCCTGAATAATGGTTAAAACATCATCACAGAAAAATGCTTGTCTTTTGTAACATTATTGATAAAAACCTGATGGATTTCTTTTTTCTGAGAGGACATCAAACTTGAAGAAGTCATTCATTCAAAATTGATTTAAAAGTGTAGGTAAGATCGTGGCTCAATGTCTACCCCTGCTCAGAATGTTTTACCGTGATTCTTCACTCTAATATTTAACAAGACGAAGTAAAAGAATAACTCAAAGAAAGTGTTTCTCAAAATGAGGTCCAAAGCCCCAAGAGAATTCTAAGGTGGGCTCAGTAATGTGCATTTTAAACAAACTTCCTAGGTGATCATTCTACATTTTAAATTTGAGAACTAATGCCCTAGGGAAAACAGCACCACTTAAAAGCAAGATCATAAACATATTTCTGACATAAGATGTCAGAATTTTCTAGAAGTTTACGATTTGAAGTGAATACTGCTTTTTGTTTTAAAATAAGTTTCAGGTATTAAGAGAAACATATATACATCTTAAATAAACATATGAATGTATATTAATATTTTCCTTTGAGATTTTCATTGCTTTCAGACTTAGTTATGTGAAGAAAAAATGAGTACATGGCCGGAAACTGGAAAAATTACATTTCTAATGAAACATAGCATCCAAAATATATATATATATATATATAATTTATTAAATGCCTACAAATTTTAAATCATTCTAAATTTAAGACTAGATAGCTTCCCTCTAAATTAAATTTTACTAAGATTGGGCAAGTGTAAGTAATTTAAATGATTATGTTACTCTGTAAGTCCCTTTTCATAAAAAAATATTTAAACAGAAGAATGCTATCTCTGACATCCCTTTAAATAATAAATTGCTAACCACTAATATTAATAAAAAATAATCTGAAGAACTTGGCCCCTGAAACGGATCTACTCTGTATTCCATGTGTTGCCTACTTAACAAAAACTCACCGAAGGAGCTGGAACTGTGACGTGTGTGAGTGTATGTGTGTGCCCTGGACATTTATTCACGTTTACTTTATTACTTTTCTTGGATTTTACTGAAGACTCCATAAATTAGGGTCCAAAAGTATGGCTAATGTGGTTTGGGGGAAGAAACAATCATGGTTAACACACTATTCAGAAGATGAATTCTTTCCTGTATACTAAATTATAAGGAAAAAATAGTATACATTCTGTCTCCACTGGATAAATGGAATGCTTTTACAAGTTTGGTAACAAGCGAGTGCCTCATTATTTAAATCAAATCACCAAAAAACAGCTGCGGGATTTACTCTCGAATAAGAAATAAATAGTACCATTGCACTTTTTTGGATCTATTTTAAATTTCTATTTTTCCCTTTTTACATACTGAGAAATTTTCCATTCAATTGCATCCGGATCCTCTGAACAACATTTGCTAACATTCCAGTTAAAGTTCTGGCTGAAGAGACAAGCTGAGAAGCCCATCCCTTGATATCCTAAAGAAATCATCTGCATCAGTTTTTCAATGACAGCTAATGATCTGGAATCCGATCCTTAATAAAAGATGCCTATTTTATTCCTCAAGGAGAATCTGTATTCCCTAATTCTAAGCAAGCAACACCTTTTATTACCAATCAATTTAATAAAATGTTGCCTTAAAAATCAATATTTTAATTATCCAAGGCAATGATAAAACTACAGCTAAAGTTTTAAACACAAAGAACTCAGAAACCAATAGTTAACATAACAAGTTGTTATATTTTGAATTAATCTTTTATTCCAAAATTAAACATTTAAATGACTTAAAGGAAGAATGATAAAAATTATGCGAGGCTTAGATGCAATTCCATCATGTGCCTTAATAATGCAACACTCTTTTTAAAAGCAGTGGTAAGTATTTCCCTTAAATGAAAAGGACACTTTCATTACTCATCAGTAGGCTGCTGGATTACGAGTGTAACTAATTTTGACACAATTGTCTGGAAACCAGTTTCAATTTTTTTTCAGTTAAACTTGGATGTAGTAATTGACTCTTACAGACAACAACAGAAGATACTGAGTGCTTTTTTGTCGGTGGCAAATATGAAATGTATCCAGGCTGGTAACAAGTGAATCCATGCATTAAATGGCAACACGAGCAAAATGCATAGTTGAGAAATGAGGATCAGACACATTCTTCTGCAGACATCAAAAGAGGATTGATATACTCAAATCCTTCAAATTCAGACTGATCAATCTTCCTCACAATGTCACTGTTGAAAGAAAAATAAATTTCATAATCAACATTTCTTCAACTTTTAATTCAAATGGTAAAATAAGGTTAAGAAACCAAAAATAAGGCTAATTTATATAAATTATGGAAAAAATTTTTACAAGTTTTTAGATTAATCCCAAAACATTTCCCAGAAGAATCAAGAGTACTGAAAATCAGAAAAGACTAATAAACCCACAAGCAAGCTTAGAACCAAAAAGTAGTCCAAAACTGAGGGCTGGGAATAAAAAAGGCACAAGTTGTCACAATTCTGGGCAATCTTAACTTTTGACCTGAGCTACATTTCTAACTATAGGTGAACATCCAGGTCCGAATTAGTATTCAATTTAGTAGTCACCTCAACAGCCAGATGCAGTACGGTGAAGAGAAGGCCCAGAAGAAGTTAACCAACAGGAAAAGGCAATAGGAACAAGTAAACTGAAAGACCTGGAAAAAGGAGAGACCACCACAGGGAGGCAATGGGTCACAGGGAGGGGAGAGATTGGAATTCTGGTTAATATAGAAGAAGAGCGAGTAGTACTATCGAACATTTTAATACTTGAACGTACACACCATACTGCAGAGCATGAAGTTACATGGGACACAGTCCCTTCCTTCAGGAAGGGATGCTACTTCACGTAACAGAAAGCTACAAGAGAAAGCAGTAGCTGCCAAGTTTCATGTGGGACAAACTAAGTTCTGTTCTAACCACAGTTCTAAAGAAAAGGGTGACTTCTAGCTGGAGAAATCAAGAAAGGCAGCGTTCATTCCACAAACATTTGCTGAACAGACTCATGAAAGATTATGGTAGGTCTAGGAGAATGCAAGTAATTTACTAGAGTTGGAGCACAGGAATAGAAGGGTGTTAAGTGGCAGATGATGCTGGAGGGAAGGTCATGGCTGGCTCAAAGAAGCCAGTGATGTTTACACTAAGGAGATTCACTTGACCCATCAAAGATCTGGTTGCATCTGAGGGTGCTCTGAAAGATGGGGCAGATGTCAACAGGTACAAATGAAGAAGGAATATAGAGGAAATGGCATGAGCAAAGGTAACAGCACGCTATCGGGGAATGGCCAGAACACAGCGTTTGTGTGAGAGAGGAGTGAGAGAGAGGGCTGGAGAGTCAGGCTGGAGCCAATGGCGAGAGGCCTCAAATGCTGGCCAAGAGGATAGATGTTATCTGGTAGGCAGCGTAGGAGTTACTAAAGGTTTCTGACTAAAGGAGTTAGAGAAGTGGAATGGTACTTCATGAGGTATACAGATTGGGTTGCAAAGTAAAGAAGGAGCCCAATTAGGAGGACGGCATAATGTCCTGGGTATGATTTGAAAGAGATCTGAACTGGGCTTATGGCAATGGGAATGGAAAAAAGGGATCTGACACAAGTGATGAAGTAAAAGGAAAAAGAGACAAGGACTTGGCAGCTGAAGGTGTAATACAGTTTATTAAGGAAAAAGGAGTCAACAATCACTGACATTTTGAATCTGAATGCAGGAACACACGGTGATATAATGAGCAGAAAAAGGTAAATAAAAACAACAAACTGATTGAGAACAATAGAAAAAGAGACCATAGAGGGTCTTTCTTTGGTTTTAGACTTCCTATGTTTAGATGCATGTCTGACAAACTAGAGGAGATGGTACACAAGCAGATGGAAATGCAGCTCAGGAGAGAGATCAGGGTAGGGCTGGGTGCTTTAGAAACCACCGCTCATTTATTCTTCACAGCAACCTCGTGAGGTGGGCAATATGAGAAGCAGCAAGCTCAGAGAAGTTACGCAATTCACGCCCAGGTTACCGAGCTGGGAAGAGGTGGCATCAGGATTCAAAGTCCTATCTTCTGATTAAATCCAGCACTCTTTCTAATACACGATGCTGTCAGAAATAATGATTTTGGTATGTATCTCTCCCTCTAGGAGACAGTAAGTTTTTTGCAAGATTGGCCTACGTCTTGATCATCTTTGAATGTCTAGTATTTCGCATAGTGCCTTTTGCTCAATAATTGTTTGCTAATTTAGCTGGGAGTCATTTAAATAGCTGGTATCCATGCTACGGGGCTGGCTGCAATCTCCCAGGCACAAGCTGCATACAGCACAGAGAAGGCTGTCATGAACAGAACCACGGAGCATCCTAGTCTCAAGGGGACAGCAAAAACAGATGACGAGTAATCAGAGAGATTAAACAGAACCCGGATGGGCGGTGCCAAAGCAAGGCCATGAATGCCAAATGCTTTACAGACATCAGGAGAGATGGAGACTGAACAAAACATGCTTCAAAACTTAGAAATTAAGAAGTCAATTCAACCTTCCAAAGCTGAAGGAGCAGGTTAAATTGTAAGGGGTTAAAGTTTGGGCAGTAAGAAAGTGTAAGACAATCAATGTTCACTACTCTGAAGGAGTCTGATACAGATACTGCTGATTTCCTTTTTTTTTTTTACCATGACCTTCTATTAACTATTTCTGAAAAAGCTTAAAGATGAAAAGAAAAATGTGGTGGTTCAAAGAAGTGCTAAGAGGGGCCAGCCCCGTGGTGTAGCGGTTAAGTTCGGCAGATTCCGCTTTGGCAGCCTGAGTTCATGGGTTCGGATCCCAGGGGTAGACATACACCACTTGCCCACCAAACTGTAGCAGCAACCCACATATTAAGTGGAGGAAGACTGGCACAGATGTTAGTTCAGGGTTAATCTTCCTCAAGCAAAAAAAAGGAAAGAAAAGAAAAAAAGTGCTAAGATTCAAGGGAAAAAATTAGGATACCTGAGCATGTTTATAAGCAGAGGAAAAGGGAAACTAAAGAAGGTGGAGTAATGGAGACAAGTGACAAAACGAAATCTGGGAGGAAACTTGTGGAAACAGGTCCAGGAAAAGAGGAGGGTGCCCCTTGAGAAAGAGGGACAGCCTTCCAAGAATAGGGAAGAAGAGAGAGGTTGAGAAGCGTTGGAGAGCAATTCTGAGATGCAAGGTGGTCTGGGGACAGCTGGAAAGGGAGCAAGCTCACAGCAGCAAGGTCTCCATCCTTGCAGTCAAGTTAAGGCAAGGTTAGTCCTGTCAGAGCGCTGGAGGCAGGGTAGGACTGAAGGCGTCTAAAATGTAGAGACAGTTCGGAACAGCTGCTGTGAGGAATGTGGTAAGAATTAATGAGATGTAAGTAAAATGACTGTCAAGCAGCAAGGGCCTCCTTGAGATGAGAGAATGACTCTGAATGACAGGTAGATGATCAAATATCCCCAAACTATTCTAAACCATATTTTTAAAAGATGCAACATAAACACAAAAAATACATCAGATTACTGTTGGCTGGATGTGATAAGCTGATGTAATCCTTTGAAAAGCAGTTTGGCAATACATATCAAGACCTTTAAAATTTCATACCCTTTGACCTAATTCCCTTTCTGTCTTAAGGTAACAGGAACTCAGGTAAAGATGGTCATTGTCAAAATGGGAAAGGGTGCAGAGCAGGGCAAAGAGCACAGGCTTAGGCAGTCAGATTTGGGGTTGAATCCTGACTCTGCCACCTGATAGCTGTGTAACTTCACTTAATCTCTCTGAGCCTCGGTTTCCTCATTTGTAAAACGAAGATGACCACAACGAGGTTTACAAGGTTGTGAGAATCAGAGATAACGCATGTAAAGCAGAGTTGAAAATGGCAGTTATTGTTATACTTTATAATAGTATAATGGATTCAAATATCTCATAACTGAATGGTTAAATTATAGTATAAACTGATAATGAAACCGTGAAGCCACTAAAAATGGGGCTTTGAAAGAACTTTAAAAATATTTCAGTCTGTAGAATTACTTACTCATCATCTGGAGTGAGCTGGACAGGTTCATTAGTAAACTGAGAATCAAAGTTGTCCAAACCAAATTCCCCAGAAATATTTGGTTTAAAGGGAGGTACCACCTGCTTTTGCTCCATCTAGAAAGACAGATTGGATGACAGCTCAAGCCTGCATTCTTAGAAAAATTCCACCTCTTCATTTCTCCTCTGCCCACAGATGTTTCCCAGTCTTTATTAAAGTGAGTCCCTAGGCGTGGTTCTCCGATGTTCACAATAACGGAAATAACTTACAAATCTGAACATTGAAGCAGGCCTCAATAATACACAACCTGCTCCATTAAATTAATATTCTAAGCTTTTATTATTTTAAAAGCTTTTAGAAAAGCACTTTAGAGAGTGTTTTAAGTTATTTAAGCTGTGATATACTAGATTTTTCAACAATCTTTTAAGATGATAAAACTTGGCCCAAGATAATAATGAAACCTAACATAGAAAACAATCAAAATTTACATACCATATCCCAATCAACATTTCGGAAGAATGGGTGTCCCTGAATATCAGCAAATCCTGTTTGAGGATGACAACCCAATCGTTCCTTTGGGTCCTATGGTGCAAAGAAATGTTTCAAGAACTGGGTGAATATCATGCTCCGGAATAAATAATCCTTGTGACCTGTGTTTCATGTCCATTATTATAGGAGACCTTTACATCTGAAATCAGAACAGTCTACCTGTCATTTCTGGGAAGTACACCATTAGACTCAAATGAGTATCTGAAGCTGTGACACGTGCGACTTCCTCACGGCTCCCTCTACTGCTATCACGTAACCGAAGTGAAGACGTGTCACCACTGCTTGTTAAAGAAAACCGGGAGGAGAAAGAGCAGCAGAGCCATTTGAGCAGCATCCAGCTATGTCTTTGGCATGGGTCAGAGCGACAGTCAAAATGTGCAAACTCCAGCAGTTTGTTCTTAGCTCAGTTTAAAAGCCCTCTGCCCAATTACAGCAACAAACGAAAATCTGTGTACAACGATACAACCATCATCTGAATTGCTGGACTGAGAAGGGGCTGCAGCTTATAAAAAGTCTTGGTTTATTCATTACTGTGAACGAGAACATGTTGCCATTTTTCTTTCTAATAAAAGGCATTTTATTTTGCATATTTACACCTTTCAACTTCATTTTTCACTAGAAACTTAGATTTCTAGTTTAAAGCTTTCCTCATATGAAGTACTCATTTAAAACAAGCTTCAATTTCTTATTTTATTAAAATTCATTATCATCTTATTTACCTTAAAGATAAATACACATCAATCTACTTTCTAACCTACCATTTATTTAAAATAAGACTCACGATTGCCAAGATCGTTGTGATACCATAATGAGTTTATATTTGGTCTTTGTCCTAGATTCCTGACACAGAGCTTCTAAAACCTTTGTAATTTCTGATGGGAGTGTCTTCTGTTATTCATAACAAGTCCCTTTTGATCAGACCTGAGTTTAGGCTAATAAGGTGACTCTTGGTGGGCCTCTAGATGGCTTCAGGATGGGGTATGGTCGACACAGGAACCAATCATGTGGTGAGGGGCTTGGAACCTTCAAGCCTCATTTCCAGAGGGGCTGGAAATCGAGTTCAATCACCAATGGCCAATGCTTTACTCAATCATGCTACATAATGGAACTTCCTTAAAAACTCCAGATCCTGGGTTTTGGAGAGCTTCTCGGTTGGTGAACTCATCCATGCGCTAGAAGGCTGGAACAACCCAACTCCACCGGGACAGAAGCTCCTGCACTCAGGACCCTTCTGGACCTCACCCTATGTACCTCTTCATCTGGTTGTTCATTTGTATCTTTTATAATAGACTGTTTTCCTGAGTTCTATGAGCCTATGAATTCTATGAGTTGTATGTTCTATGAGTAATTCTAGCTAATCACTGAACCTGAACTGAGGGGGTTGTGGGAACTCCCAACTTTGTAGCCAAGTCAGCCAGAAGTGTGGGCACCCAATACTTGCGACTGGCATCTGAAGTGACGACAGTCTTGTGGGACTGAACATTTAAACCCATATGCAGTCTGATGCTAACTCCGAGTAGTTAGTGTCAGAAATGAACTGAATTGTAAGACATCCACTTGGTGTCTGGAGAGTTGAAGAAGTGGTGTGGAAAAAAGCCTACACGTTTGGTTTTAGAAGTGTTATGAGTAAAAGCAGCTCAGAATCATGACAGATAGATCCCCAAACTCTCCTAGCCTACCAACAGCCTAGCAACAAACAAGTGAATGATGTTCAGATTTTTTAAGAGCCAATGATAGCATCTCGGTTCTTCTGATTTGATCTAATTATAGGGTTTTTGACATGAGAATCTGTAGGAACACTATTGCCCCAAGTACTCAAAAGCTAAAGAGATTCTATAAATAATGATAAGCCAAAGAAAATTGAAAAATAGAACTGAAAGTACCATTGAGACTATCCCCAAAGATGCAATCTGCCCTTAATTGAGTACATGGTATATATCATTTACATTAAAAATACCATATGTAATGTATAGCTGGGGTAAATTATACTGGCAAAATGGGAAGCACAACTCATCTTAGTGACAGATAAATTCCAGATCTAACTGAAAGAATCACATAGTCTGATGTTTTGGAATTCTATGTTGCCTGAAGCTCTACCTGCCAGTTTCCCTTATACAAAGATAAACCACTAAAGATTTTATACAGGATTTATACCTTGTTGAGAAAACTCTTCAGGACACTTGCAGCTTTTACAGATAGAGAACGCGGTATGCGAATTTGTTTTTCCAAAATAACTAGAAAGATAAAATTTACAGCGTTATATTTAACTTTCACGTGGCTTTAATCTTTAAATTTTTATTATGAGATATTTAAGGCATTCTAGCAGAAAAAAATAAGACGTTATGTACACTACTTAAGTGTCTCGTGTGCTTTCCCAGTCCCATTCTTCTTCCTCCTCAGAGACAGCCCCTACTCTGAATGCTGATTTTATCATTTACATGCACGTTTTATTCTTTGACTACCTCTTTGTGCCTTGGTTTTCTCATCTGTAAAACTGGAATAAAAATAATACTTGCTGCATAAGGTTGTTATGAAGTTTAAACAAGTTAATATCTGTAAAAAGCTGGCACATATTACTATATTCAATTTTACTGGACATTGCCAAATTATTCTCCAAGGCTCTTGTGTCATTGTCACTGTCGCCAGCAGTCTATGAGAGTTCCTGTTGCTCCACATCCTCATCAGCACTGGTATTACCAGACTTTAAAATTTCTGCCAAGGGGCCAGCACAAGTGGCGTAGTGGTTAAGTTCGCACATTCCACTTCAGCGGCCCAGGATTCGCAGGTTCGGATCCTGGGTGCAGACCTAGATATTGCTCACCAAGCCGTGCTGTGGTGGTGTCCCACAAACAAAAGAGAGGAAGATTGGCACAGATGTTAGCTCAGGGACAATCTTCCTCACACACACACAAAAAAATTCTGCCAAACGTATGAGTACAAAATAGTAGCTCTTTAATGTGCATACCCCTAATTACTAGTGAGGATGAACGTCTTTCCACATATTCCATGGCCATTTGGATTTCCCATTACACGGAATAGCAATCATTTCCTGTGATGGCCTTAATTATTAAATGTAGAATTTTATGGCAGTCTTCACACTTCTTTGGACTGTGTGTTGGGGGGGGATCCCTGTGTTTATCTGCTTGTTTCTGTTCTGTTCCATTCTTTGTATTTCCAATCTTGGGGTTTTCTTTTCATCCTTTGATCCCTCTTATCTTGTTGGTACTCAACTTTTTTCCCATATTGTTCTGGACTTATGCACTCAGCCTTGGGGTCCAGGTGAAAAGACCGTCCTCTCTAGCCACCAGGATTCCCTCCTCCAATTTCTGTTCATGACACACCATCTGAAGGAACCTCTTTGTTATGTGTCTGAGGATGAGAAGAGAACTGGCAAACGGGACTGAAGACTACAGAGGTGGGAATGATGTATCAAAAAGGAGAAAAACCAAAGCCCCACATATTAAGGAGTATATTGTCCAGGTTATTCTCTCTCTCTTTTTTTTTTTTGGTGAGGAAGACTGGTCCTGAGCTAACATCTGTTGCCAATCTTCCTCTTTTTGCTTGAGGAAGGTTGTTGCTGAGCTAACACGTTTGCCAGTCTTCCTCTGTTTCGTATGTGGGATGCCATCACAGTGTGGCCTGACGAGTGGTGGTAGGTCCACGCCCAGGATCCAAATCTGTGAACCCTGGGCTGCCAAAGCGGAGCTCATGAACTTAACCACTAAGCACTGGGCCAGCTACTATTCTTCTCTTTCTTACTCAGAGTAAAAACTTGAGCCGTCCTCATTCACGCTCTAGAATAGGTTATTCACAGTGGAAGTCTGTAAAATACTGCAAGTTACCTTGGAAGAGATAATCCTCTGTGTTTTGATCGGGGTTATCAGAGCTCCCAACAATATCAAACGGAGACCTCCCTGCCATCATCTCGAACATGAGCACTCCAAGCGCCCACCAGTCCACACTGAAACCTTCCGAAGAGAAAGTTTAAAGCAACACTTATCCATTCTGCATTCTTGAAAGTCAATAATTTGAGATTCATTTTATTCCACAATGAAAAAGCAAACTCTTAAAAGCATTGTAACTATCATGGTAGGCACTGAGGATTATAGGTATATTTCACTTATCAACAAGGGGAGGTACTTAAAAGATAATTTTAAAAATAAAATACAGGCAATAGAACATGTTTCTTTTCCCAACTATGTCTGTAATTTCAGACTCATGGCCTGTATCTAATATTTTGTTTTGATGATATAATTAAGCTCTAATTGAGAATAACCTTCCTTGGTCTAAAACCTGATCTTCTGCTAGCTGATTAAAAATCCTTGAGAGATCCTGGAGTCAGATTAGGAGCAGCTGTCACAGGCACCCAGCCTCCTTTACAACTGCTGAAATCAGAGGGCCAGAACCTAAAGGGTCAAATGTTTTCTTAAGATAAACATATCCTCTGGTTCCTGACAAGCAGTCAATCTTTCTACCACCTTTCAGATTCCTGGGGGAAATATCCCAGGAACTCTGAACAATCTTCGTGAGTCACATGGCTCAAGTTTAAATCCCAACTCTGACACTTCATAGCTGTGTGACCCTGGATAAGTTATTTAAACTTTCTGTACATTAGCTTCCTCATCAGTATAATGAGAACTAACAGTGCTTCCCTCATAGGATTACTAAAAGGACTAACTTAGTTAATATATGTAAACTGTCTAAAATAGTGCCTAGTACTCTTTAGTGCTTGCCACTAATAAAATATTATTCAAATTTCTACCTCCAAATACTACCCAGGTCCCACTGGCTCCAATTTCAGAGTTTAGGGTTTTCATGTAGGTTGTAAAGGATCAAAAAAGTTTATAGTAATAAGATCAGCATTGAAATACTATAGTGTACTGTAATGCACTTGGTACCAGATCTAACTATCCTTCTAGCTCATAGCTAAAATACCATCTATTTATTTATTACCATAATCTTCTCCTCTTAAAATTTCAGGAGCAATGTAATTGGGAGTACCACAGAAAGTGCTGGTTGTGTCTCCTGGCCGTAATCCTTCCTTTTATAAAAAAAAAGGAAAAAAAGAAAAAATAAGATCCAAAATTCTGTTTTAAATTCCCCTTTTTATCTCATCTATCACATGAGCTCAGCATCTGTAGGCATACATTAAGCTTAAATAAAATATCACTAGCACAGTTGCATTTATTACTAAAATCACAGGTTGCCACTAAACAGCTTACAGAAAACCCGTCCTCATTAGATGCTGGCAAACAGTAAGTTCAACTAAGATAAAAATTAATTTAAAATAATTTATACTCAAATAAAAATTTGATACAAAAATTCAAATTCATATGAGTAAAAGGAATCATATTTTATGAAGAAAAGAAGCACTTTAAATCCCACCTCCCAACACAACCACTGCTGGCATTATGGTATTTCCCTTCCAGTCATTTTTCCTAAGGGATAAGTTTTCTGGTTTTGTATTTTAATAGCTACAGGATGGACAAAATTGAGGCAAAACACACTAATATATACGAATTGAGAAACCACATAATAACAAATGGAACAATCCCCAAGAAGTTATAACAAACTTGTATGTACCTAACAACACAGCCTCAAAATACAAAGAGTAAAAATGAGCAAAATCATTAGAATTTCACAATCCCTGCTATGGACTGAATGTTTGTGTGCCCCCAAAATTCGTACATTGAGGCCATGAAGTGATAGCACTGGGAGGTGGGGACTTTGGGAGGTAATTAGGTCCTGAGGTTGGAGCCCCCATGTGGGTACGTGGAGCAATAGAGGAGAGAGAGTTTGTGAAACAGAGAGAGAGACTCCTTGCATGCAAAATAAAAATTCTATATTCTTTTTTATGTACATCTTGGATATTGACCAAATACTAAGTCATAAAGGAAATCTCAATATATTTCAAAGAACCAATATCACTCAGATCATTCTCTGGCCACAAGGCAATTAAATAAGAAATAATAAAAAGATAGCCAGTCGAGTGGCCTAGTGGTTAAGTTTGGCACACTCTGCTTTGGTGGCCCAGGTTCAGTTCCCAGGCGCAGACCTACACCACTCATCGGGGGCTGTGCTGTGGCAGGGACCCACTTACAAAATAGAGGAAGTCTGGCATAAATATTAGCTCAGAGCCAATCTTCCTCAAGCAAAACAAGGAAGATTAGCAACAGATGTTAGCTAAGGGCGAATCTTCCTCAGCAATAAAAAAGAAGATAATCTAAAAACAAGCTGAAGAATAGTAAATATACAATTAAGCATCTGCTTTTTTAACTTTATAAGCATGTAATTTCCTATGTAATTACAGACTTCCTATTATTAATGACTATAAAATTCAACTGAACATATGCATTTAGAATTTAACCATTTCCTTCTTGTTAGATTATATGGTACAAAATCCCAAACAAAAAAAGGAGGGAGGATACATTGAAAACCAAGCTTTCCTCCCATTCCTGCCCCTGTGCATCTAGTTCCAGCTCCCTAGAGGCAACCACTGTCATGAGGTTCTGATGTGTCCCTCCAGAGATATTCTGGGCATGGTGTATTTATTTGTCTTCAAATTCTACTCTATTGTATTTAACACTGCTATAAACATCTGGAGAAAGATTTAGGAATATGTTGTGACTCCAAGGATTTTTTATGATTCCTAATAGGGATATATATGTAATTTTTGTAAACGAAGAAATATATATGTGACTTAAGATGATCTGTATTATTGGCAATGGCTTAACATACAGTCTCACGATAAATGACATGCACTTTCAGGGCAAGAGTCAGAGGCAAGGAATGCAGTCTGTTAACCTGTAACAGAGCTATGCTCCATCATTCACTTGTTGACCGAATATCTGAATGTAGGCCCATTAGCTAAATTATCTACAGCATAACATAAATGTTATTATTAAAATTCCCCTGCTGATGAAAAAACAGAGTTAAAGGCACATCAATTCATAAAATGGCTGAAATTTTTCAGTGAATAAAATCAATGTTCACGAAATATTTAAATATATGCCTGAAGATCCTAATTCAAGTTTTCACATGCCTCCAGTCATCACTATCCTCTGCACTCTCTTATATAAAAGCATCTAGTGAGAAAATGAAGAAACTAATTAAAGGATGTGTTTCTGGAGAAACTATGGAAGAAAATTTTAGTGTTTTAAATTTCCCGAGGAATCGTCATAAGGAAAAGAAATTCATCCAAAATTTGCCTTAACTTTAGGTAAGTTTAAATACTGACTCTAAGTCATAAAATAAGAACATTCAAATTTCCAGGACATTTATTTCCCATAAGCTTTAACATCATGGGTGTCAATGTGTTAGTGAGAGCAGAGACAACTGCTGTTAGCAAAGTCTCTGAACAGAGTTCCAATCCTGATGTCTTTTCCTACTAATAAGACTAAGCAGCTCCTGGAGAAGGAGGAAAAACAGAAAGGGAAGTAGGCAGGACAACCAACTTAAAGAACTACTAAATAAGACTGCTAAGATTTATCAAAGATCCTGATTAACTTGACTGAGGATCTCTGGAAAGAATGAGACTGTATAACAACCAATATTATTTTTCATTCAGAATAACAAAATATTAAGTAATTTTTCTCTAATAATATCTTCCAGGCAAAACAGGATTTCCAAATTTCTTTGAAGAAAAAGAGACAGAAAAGAAAGAAAGGAGGAAGGAAGGGAGGGAGGGAGGGGAGAAGGGGAGAAGGGGAGAAGGGGAGAGGGGGAGAGGGGCAGAGGGAGTCAGAGAGGGGGAGGGGAGGAAAGGAGGGGGAGGAGGAGGAGAGAGGGATGGAGGGAGAGAGAGGGAGAGAGGGAGGAAGAAAGGAAAAAGAAAGGCTTAATTCATTTTTGTGAATTTCATAGTTTAAGTAATGCATGCCCACTATAATAACTTTAAAAATATTTAAAAGTAAACAGAATAAATGTGTGATGCTACATAACAGAATAATACATAACAAGACATATAGAATTAGACAATTCTATACTTTAAAACTTACTTAATGTTATAAACATTTTACATTGTTATGAACTGTTTGTAAACATCTTCTTAAACGACTTCATAATGCCATGTTTTGTGGCCATTCCATAATTTCCTTAATTATCCTCCTTACCAGTACCCATTTAGATTACTTATAACATTTATCATAAACTACAATAAAAAATTTTGGTCATAAACCTTTCCTCATTGACCAAAATATTTACTCAGAATATCCCAGAGGGAGAATTACTGGATCAAAGAATATGGTCATCTTTAAGATTCCTGATATATCCTCACCAAACTCCTTTACAAAACGTTACAACAATATATACCTTCACCAATGACATATGAGAATGCCCATTGCATTAAACTCTTGTAAACAGACTATTATAATTTTAAAATCAATTATCTGGCATGCAAAAAAACCATCTCATTCAAAGAAAACAGTTCAGTGGTTACCCGGGGGAGGGGGGAGGGGGGTGGGGGG